GTAAGAGCAGTTGCCAAATCTTATATCCATGATTTTCAAAATACTCTTGGTTGATTTTCTCTCCGTGCTATTCCTTTCATTCCTCTGTGAAGTTTCAGGCACTCTGAAAATTTGCTGAATCATTTTTGTATTAACTAGGATGATATTGCATAGTTTTCATTGATCTAGCTAAGGTTTATTGAATATTTATTGTATATTTTAGTGACATCAGCAAGTTGGAGAAAGAGTTTTTATAACTTTTAAGGCATAGTTGTGAAGGTTTTATTTATTGGTCTTAATTTTCCTCAAGTCTTTCAGTGCTACTGCACGTAAGATGTTTTGTGTAGTTCTGTGGGGAGATCTAAAAATATCTACTAAAGGGGAGGAAACTTAGGGAAATGGCTATAATATAAAGTAGAAAGGGGATGAGAGGTACAGACATCCTATAGGAGTGCCAGTGGCTTCTGCTTGTAGTTTATGATGATAATAATAGCTAACATTTATTGAGTCCTACCTACCAGGCATTGTTCTAGCCATTTTATATGTATGGTTTCACTTAATTCTCATATGAGATAGGAATTTATGTAAGCCCTGTTTTATACATGATGAGACTGAGACACCTAGATCTTAAGTAACTTGCTCAGGGTCATCCAACTAGTAAGGACTAGACCTGGGATTTGAACCTGAGCAGTCTTGTTTCCTCACCTGTGCTCCCAGCCTCTGGATTGTACTGTCTCTGTGCCTCTGGTCCCGTTCTCTCTCTGCGTCCTCATATCTCTCTGCTCTTCTCATTGTACCCTGTGTTCCGGCCGCCTTGGACTTCTTAGAGTTTTTTGAACATCACACTCTGATTTTTCTTGCCTTTGTGTCGCTTTTTGTCTCCCTGGAAAACTTTTCTACCCCTGTGCTCTAAGACACCAGCCTCTCCTTTCCTCCCCAAGATAGGGAGATTATTCTGTCTTATTTATCTGGCTAACATGTTTAAATGGATTTAAAGGATGGCATCTTTTACCATTCTTGTCAGATAGCCCTTTTGGGAAACCATTCTCTGACCTCCCAAGCATGGGTTAGGTTTCTATCCTCCAGAATATTTCCAGGGGCCGGCCCGGTGGCGCAGGCGGTTAAGTGCGTGCGCTCCGCTTCGGTGGCCCGGGGTTCGTGGGTTCGGATCCCAGGCGCGCCCCGATGCACTGCTTGTCACGCCATGCTGTGGTGGCGTCCCATATAAAGTAAGGAAGATGGGCACGGATGTTAGCTCAGGACCAGTTTTCCTCGGCAAAAAAGAGGACGATTGGCATCGAATGTTCACTCAGGGCTGATCTTCGTCACACAGACACACAAAACAACAGAATATTTGCAGATATTCTGCACTTACCTTTACGTTACCTCTTAACATACTGAATCGTATCTGATAGTTTAACTGTTAGACTGAGCTTCAGACTAGGTCTAGTTTCGTGTCTCAGCACATAGCCTAGTCACCTGTTTGGTGAATGAATGCTTAGTGAGAGTTTGGAAATATGTCAAAATGCAGCCAAACTGAAAGTCCATATTTGGGGAGCTATAAAATGATCTTGTTATTTTGGAGCTACTTAAAAACCACCCAGAGACTGACTGACTGGAGTCTCTCAAAGATGAGTCAACACTTCATTAAATTACTTGTGAAGAGGTGGGTTTAGTAATTCAGAATCCTTGATTAGACCTTAATCTTATTTAAGAGAGAATACTTTGTTATTTTGGATTTTGACTGGAAGTGTTTTTTTTCTTTTTTCTTTTTGTTTTTTCAGTCTGCTGTCCCAGGCTATTGGTTGTTAGGTGTTCCCAACCTTTGCTCTTGAGTGGAGCCTAAGAAATCTCTCTTGGGTGCACAAGAAGCTGAGTCCTGTCTAGTTTCTGTTATAATCAGTTTGTTTTTAAAACTTGTATCTGGGGGTCTAAAAAGAACTTTAATATGTCCAAAATCTTCATCCATTTCCCCTACATGGTTATCTATCTAACCATCATCTGGAAACTTGGGGGTCATCTTTGACACCTTCATCTCTTTCATTCCCTTTAATGGTTCATCACCAAGTCTGGTGCACTTTGACTGCTCCAGGTCTCTTCAAGTAGACCTGGAGCCGCTTTTCCCACATCTCCCCTCTTAACAGCTGCAGACCGCACTGTCATCATATCTTGCCTGTAGTATTGCAATAACTTATCTCCCCATTCCCACTGTTGGTACCCTCCAATCTGTTCTTGACCAAACAGCAAGAATGATCTTTTTTTTGTTGTTTTTTTTGTGAGGGAGCTCAGCCCTGAGCTAACATCCATGCCAATCCTCCTCTTTTTGCTGAGGAAGACCGGCCTTGAGCTAACATCTATTGCCAATCCTCCTCCTTTTTTTTTTTGCCCAAAGCCCCAGTAGATAGTTGTATGTCATAGTTGCACATCCTTCTAGTTGCTGCATGTGGGACATGGCCTCAGCATGGCCAGAGAAGCGGTGCGTCAGTGCGCGCCTGGGATCCGAACCCGGGCCGCCAGCAGCGGAGCGCGTGCACTTAACTGCTAAGCCATGAGGCTGGCCCAAGAATGATCTTTCTATATCTCAAAACTGATCACTTATTTATAGAGTGGGGAGGTGGGTTTGGTTATGAAAGGGCAACATGAGAGATCCTTGCAGTGATGAAACTAAACTGTTCCGTACCTTGTATCTGTGCTGATATCCCGATTGTGATATTGGACTACAGTTTGCAAAATGTTACATTGGGGGAAACTGGCTAAAGGATACACAGGATCTCTCTGTATTATTTCTTAAAACTGCATGTGAAGCTACAGTTAATAAAATTTCGGTAAAAAATCCATGATTATTATCCTGTTTAAAACTCTTCAGTGCTTTCCTACTCCTTTTAGGATAAAGAATGAAGTCCTCACTGTGGTCTTCTGTGACTTGCATCATCTGGCTTGCCATCTTCCGCCTTGTTTGTTTGATACCAGCTGTCTGTGTTCCAGACATGTGACCTTCTTTCACCATCTTGAACATGCCAGGTTTTTCACTTACAGCCTTCCTACGCACTTTCTTCTGCCTAAAATATTATTCTTTACACTCCTTTGATTAATTCCTTCTCATCCTTTGTATATCAGCTTCATTTTCACTTCTTAAAAGACAAGCCTTTCCTGATTCTCCAGACTAAGTCAGATTTCTTATAGCTGTAGCAATCAGTGTAGTTTGTATACATTCATATTTGTGTGGTTATTTGATTCATATCTGTCTCTTCCACCAGACTCCATGGGGGCAGGGTCTGTATCTTCATCCCCAGCATCTAATACAGTGAGAAATAAGAACATGTATGATATGAAAGACATTGTTTTTCTCTCTCAGCCTTTTCTCTTATTGTCATCTAAGAAACACCTTCATTACTTAGGTCAGGAGAATAGGTCCCAATCCAGATATCTTGCTTTCTTCCCAGACCATGAGTTTGAATTTCTGTCAGATTGCCTAAAAGTAAACCTCTTTCAGGTCACAGAGGCATTTCTTAGAGCGGGGATAAGGTATGGTTGAGCAAGATGAGTGCTCTTGATCCTGGCAGCTGAATCTACCCAGGGGCCATCTCAGGCCCTGGCCCTGCTTATCTCTGGGAGATGGCCAGCTGTGGATTTGTTGGGTAGGTGGAGTTCATTTGGAGCTGAAATTCGTTGCCTTTCTGAAGGGTCATGGCTCTTTTCATTGGCATGGCAGAATTCTATGTTGTCACATTGAGTATTGGCCTACCAAAAGTTAAGATCCCTGCTGTATGAGTGTGAGTGTATGATTTGGTGACTCGGAATGGTCAGTATTCTTAGTTATGGACAATGGAGTCCATGCTAGCTAGTCTAAATAGAAAGACGTATTGGTTAGCCTGTAGAATTTTTGCATATAGATTTTTTGAAAGACCGGACGGTTAAGCTTGGATCCAACACAGGCAGAAGCAGTGCAACCAGGAGATGTGCTCAGTGACACTAAAGGGCTGTTTGAGCAGAAGTGCCACAGCTGTTGCTACCTGCCACAAAGTTAGAGATTGGACAGCAGAACCTCTGGAACTTCTGCTGAGTTCCTGCAGAAAAACTGTACGCCTCCTGTATGACTGTGTTTGACCTGAGAGCTATGTGGCTTCCAAATTACAGTAAGTCACTTCAGTCTTCCAAGTCTTGCACAGGTGTGCCTGCTTGGCAGAAACTGCATCACATGTGGGACCTTAGCTGCAAGGGAGTCCAAGAAATACAGTCTTAGCTTTCCAGTCTCTGGGGTGCAGGAAAGTATGCTAGAATCTGGTATTATGTGAGCTAGTTTGTGTCGTCTGCCATAGCAGATCGAAGACTGACCATTACAGACAGACCCCATTGTCTAGTAAATGTTTTACTTGAGTCTAATGCAAATGATTACTACCTATTGTTGTGCTGCCTATTAGGAACTTAACATGGGACTTTATAACATGCAGCAAGGTAATGATAGTCTCTTAGATTTTCAAGTGGTGGATTTTGCCTGTGCTGAATTATGTACTTTATAGATCTGTGTGGTTTTGCATAATACTCGTACATTTGCATATTCATTCATGGAATGTTATTATGGAGAGCACTAAGTATGGGCTGTCCTGTATTGTACTAGGAGCTAGTAATACAAAGGAGGGTAAGACAGTCTGCATTCAGGAAACTTACCGACTTGGTGTGGCAGTGTTTTCCAGCAGAGATGTGCATTAGAATCAATCTTTGAAGTTAAAAAATATGTGTGGTACTCCACGTTTTTATATCCTCTATCTGCCACATGCATCAGCATGAAGTTCCCAAATGAGAGAGAGACACAGAGAGTCCAGGAACCTGCGTTTTTAGCAGGCTTTCCTGTTGATTCTTAAGCATTCTCCCTTGGCAAAGAACCACTGGTCCAGTGGGTCAGTAATAACCATTTTGTTTTATTGCTGTTGAAAACATAGGACTATGTTTCAATTTGTAAGTTATTTCCTACTTTGTTCATTTGCTTTACAAAGTTTTAAAAATGCATGTTTGTTTTCCAGGGGCAGAGTTACCAGGGCAGGTTATCTCCATGGCAGCTTCTACTCTGGCGACCTTGGCCATCTCTATCACAGGGTATGACTCGAGCACTGAAGACCAGCCCTCGACCCAGCCTGCAGGTGACTGTGACTTTATGAAGGAATGCCTTCAGAATCATTCTGGAAAATGAAATATGCATTGAATATAAAATTAAGAAAGATACTAGCACCACAAAATGCTTCTTACTGGCTCTTCATTTTTCTCTCTGATCCCTGTTTTTATACCTTTTTCCCTTTCATCTTTGTTCTCCTGTATCACTTTTTTCATACCTTTAACTATTTACCTTATTAGGTTTCTTATCCTGATCCTTCTACCTTTTCCTTTTATTTTAAATGCTTATTTTTCTTTTATTACTCTTTCTCATTTTCCTTTCGTATGATTTTCCTTTTCTCAGTGCCCAATTTACCTCTGTCCCTCTTTTCCCCCATTTAATCCTTTTCTTATTTTCCATTTCTTCTACAACTGTCAGTTCTCCTCCAGTGTTCAATTTTGCTCTGACTCTTCATGTTGCTTTTTCTGTTGTTGTTCCCTTTCTCCAACTCTTTCTTTTGGCTTTTATTTTTCATCTTCCAGTCATCCATTTCTCTGGCATTTCTTGCTTTTCTTCTCAGAGTTTGCTTTGCATGCCCATATTGACTCTTTCCCCTAAAACAAAGCCCTCTGGCTATTTTGGATTCAGTGCTCCTGCGAGATCCAGCTGGTCAATTTACACCAGCTGTAAAGTCACACTGCACTCATACAGAGTTCAGGAATATAAACGGCTGTCTCTGTCTGTGCCGAGAGGCCTGTTGGTGCCAGAGGTTTTGGAGTTAGGAATATTTTTGGTGAGCTCTTCTTGAAGAACTAACTTTAGAAAAGTCTTGAAGGAAGGGATCAGCTAAGAAAAAGGCATTTGGGGCTGTGGGAAAACTTACTTTTCTTGCACAGTGAATCATGCTTCCAGTATGAAGAGGGCATGATGTTTTGATTATGCACTTGCTTTTCTTCTGAATGCCTGCCACATCCACCAGGATGAAGTTTCCAAATTAGAAAGATACTCAGGGAGCAAAGTCAAACAGAAGCATATTATAACTAGCTTGGGCTTTGGCCTCAAACCTCAGGATAGGATGTTAGTTCTGGTGAGGTAGGCTGACTTGGTGCTAGTTATAGCAGTAGTAAAAATTTCCTCACAGTTAAACATTTAACATTAGAAGAAACACTAAGGAAATGATGATATAACACTCATAGGGCTACTATGTAGTCACTTATGAAAGTTATGAAATAACAGTTGTCATTCTTTGAGCATATATTTAGTGAGCATCTACTATATGTCAAGTACTATTTTCTGTGCTAGGAATTCAGTACAGGGAGAACAAGACAGATGAGGTCTTAGCTCTCCTGGAGCTGACACTCAACTGAAGGGAGAAAGTTGGAAAAGGGTAAGTGGAACGTGATAACAACCGTGTAAAACTATGTGAAGACTCTGAGGCCAATAGGGAGTTGGGATTGTGGGTGTTTTTGTTTCTTTTCTCTAGACTTTCTGAAATATGGTATACTTTGTCATTAACATTTTTTTGTGGAAGGCAAAATGCAAGTTTTAGGATCTTACTCATTTCTATCATCATAGTATATACTGAGTAATATTGCTTTAGGAGTTATATGATTTCTGATATATATAGTATATTTTGGTAAAACTAGGAAGTAGAATAATATAACCCTATAGTAAAATGTAACAATAGTCGCATTTTTAGAAAACAGTGCCTTATGTGAAATAATTCAGTCTGATTTCCTTCATTTGAAAATTCCTCACCCTCAGCAATCTGTCATTGTTTCACATCTCATTCTAAGAGAAAGACGTGTTTCAAAGCTCTGGGTTCTTGTAAGAGCAGTTGGCTCCATTTTAGGTAAAATGGTACTGAAAAGCCATATTGTGTCAGAAATATGTATAGACATATCTAATATAAAGTTATATTGAAAGAGGAGGAACTTTTAAAATAGGAATTCTACAAAATGTTAATATTTGTTGCTTTATATGGTTTGAGTAATTTTCATGTACTAATTATAATTCTCAGCTATTTTGTCATGTATTTTTTAGTTTTTTGTTTAAATGATAAATATGTGTAAAAATAAATGATATATGACATAAAAAACTTGAACAGTGTAAAGCATGTAAAGTAAAAAGTAAAAAATCCCGTACCCAACCGTACCCCCCACCAGAGTTCATTTCCCTAGATTTAAATACTGTCAGCATTGTAATTCTCCACACATATTTCAGTGCATGTGCAAACATACATCTAGATCTTTTTTCTTTTTTAGCCCAGTGTAATCGTACTATCCGAGGACATTTCGAAGGCTTAGAATAGCCCGGCCAATCGCTCTATATTCCTGTTTACCCATGTGAACTAATATGGTGAGTGCCTTTTTTCTTTCCCTCTTCAGAAACCATGGACAGAGGAGAACCCCCTCCAACACTGTCCTCATCTTCTTCACCTCCCTCCCCTTCACCCACCCTCGGCAGACAAAGGCCTGAAATCGGAACGTTTCTTAGAAAGAAGAAAACAAGTGATATCTACTTTGTGTCTCTTGTTTGGGCCATCGTTGGAGTCCAGATCTGGTTGAACCTGTGGATCGTACAGCTGCTGCCAGTGCCCATTGCAGGTAATGGGTTAGTTATGATCTTTCTTGTCTTTGAAAATGTTTTTTTTTACTTTTAGATTTTAATATTTGAGGTAATTTTCAATAAAACAGTCATATGTTTGCATTTAAATAATCAACATTATTTTGGAAGTTATTACTTTGATACTTCTTTATTATTTCACTTTTAAGCTAAAAAATGTATTTAGCCTCTTATAATTTTGTGTGGTATTAGAAACTGATAGTTTCACGTGGAGAGTTGACTGTTCTGCCATCCATGATTCTGTGGAGAATCTGGGTTTGGGGGTTTATGATTGAGTTTTGAGAGCTGCTCTTAGTGAAGTGCATTTTAAATCGCATTTTTAATTCAAAGGAAATGTAGATTGTGAGAAATATATGCATGCCAAATCTTGATTTTTCTTTTGTTTGACAAAAAATTGACATGTGTATATATTATATCAAAATGGAATCATATGGCTTTCCACAAATCATTAAATTAGGTCTTTATACTTGAATACCATGGTAATTTAAGGCCCATCTCTATTGTGTTGGTTCTCTCTAAAGCTGTCGTCTAAGACTGGCAAGATATAGGAGAGTTTTGTAGGTGCAATGTACAAGAGTCTCTTATTTTATACTTTCTGGATTGTGTGGGCTTTCCTCTTATTGCAGTCATAGTCTATGCCAAATTTATTAAGTCTTCAGTGGATGCTCTGGATCCTGCCATCCAGATACCTCCTAAATTTGGTGAGTCGTCTGCTTTATGAAGGAGGTTTTTCACTATTGATTTAAACATAGTCTGATTTTTGGAAGCCTGTTTTCCACCATGTTCTAAAAGTCTAAGATATAGGTGCATACAGAGTACATACCATAGCCATGCTTTCTATTAAGGAATTTATAGAAGTGCTTAGTATAAATTGCTCTTCTGGATTGTTCCATACTTTCTTGTTTTTGCCAGATGATTTCTTTTATGCTGGCGTATCATGTGTTAGTTGCTGTTGGAATCTCCTTTTGTTTTTGTTTTTTTTTGTGAGGAAGACCAGCCCTGAGCTAACATCTGATGCCAATCCTCCTCTTTTTTGCTGAGGAAGACTGGCCCTGGGCTAACACCCATGACCATCTTCCTCTACTTTATATGGGACGCCGCCACAGCATGGCCTAACAAGTGGTGCGTCGGTGTGCACCTGGGATCTGAATCGGCGGACCCCGGGCCGCCGCAGTGGAAGGCACGCACTTAACTGCTTGCGCCACCAGGCTGGCCCCATGAACCTCCTTTTCTTTAAAGTTTGTTAGCAGGACTTAAACATTTGTCTTAGTCATTTCTTAACCTACAGGTCATCATAGGAATTTGACATGGCCTTGGGAGAGCAGGCTGTGAACACGGGGGCCCCCATTTCTACGGCCTGTAATTACCCTGGGCTTATTCTAGAGACTAGAGGAGCTTTCCTAGGACGTCTCTAGAGATTTAAGAATGCTGATGAAAGAATTATTGAGCTGATATGTTACACTGAGCTCATGGTTCAAAATAGTAAACTGTGAATTGTTAGGTTACAAGGCCAGAGCTAAGTTAGGGAAATTATAGCGGTTGGGATCAATTATCCCAATTTCAAACTTCAAGGCAACCCTCACAGATAAGTAACACTTCCTTCTAGTCTCACCACCTTCTTAGTTGGCCTTTAACAGGGAGCTTAACCCTGGGAGCTTGAAGGACCACCACACTGTCTAGCTGCAGGGTGGGGACGTTCATATTATGGTCTATGAGTGGTTCCTCCTGAAGTTGTGCAGTGCACAGCTTCAGGGCCATTTGTAACAGCCCTGATTATATCCATCCTGCTTCTCCACTGAAGCCTGGTAAAGATTCAGATGGGCAGAGCAGTGTTAACTAGAGATATAGGAACACAAATGAAAATATTACACTGTGGTGTTATAAAATCACGATGCATATGGAATACTTTATACTTTTCTGGTCACTAAACATCAGACGTCTAAGGAAGAGAACAAAATTTGGTAAGAGCAGCTATAGTAGCCAAGGAGATTAGGACATGTCAGGGGTTAGCATTCTTTATCCTGGAAGGGAAAGATGTGAAAGGCCAAGATTATAGTGGCTGGAATCTGCATGATCAGAGTATCTTATGTTTATGTGGGCTATGAAATAATCCCTTACTCCTTCAGGGATTCAGACTTCACAAAGAAGGTGGTATATGGGCAGGTGGCGATTGTGTGAAAAGTTATTTGTCCCAGTGTCATCAATTTGGAATACCTTGAACTTTTCTGTCTCCCCCCTCCTATTTTTTTTTTCAGTTGATCCTTATTTTAATACGAGCTTTACTGTTTTAGAAAGGTCACGTGAAATTGAGGGACCTTTTCATGTTGTAACTTTGTAATCTATATTTTGTTTCTGTGTGTATTTCTTATCTTCTTTATAGTCTGGATACTCAAAAAGCTTGTTATTCACTTTGGAGTTGTGAACTTCCTGGAGAAGCGCCGTTCCGTGTGGTGGCAGGTCATAGAGCACTTCCTGAAGGAGCGGCAGGGAGCTCTAGCTCCGTGGCCAATTATCGGGCTTGGAAAATTCTTGTTAAAAGTTGATAGCAAGGTATGGTATTTTAAGGAGTTGGGTAGTTCTAATGGAGTTTGTATATTTCATTGTCTGAAATATTCCATTTCATGGTATTTAGTGTTTATATACTGTAATTGTTGATAACACATTTAATGTCTAATTCTATGATAAAATTTAAAGTTGAGAATTATGCTTTATATAAGGATAGGATAGATTTAGTTTAAATAAGTATTGTGTAAGTAGTTTTCCCTCTTAAAAATGGGAGAAAAGAATCTTATGGATCGACTACCTAGTTCAACTCTTTCGTTTTATAAGGACCAAATTGAAATGAATCCAGAGGGGTTAAATGACTTGCCTAAAATTATATAGCTAGGTAGTGGCTCAGTTCATTGAGTATTTTTGGAGTAATTCCCGTGTGTCAGATATTGTGCTAAGTCCTGGTGAAAATCAGATGAATCACAGGAAACTAGATGAAGAAGCTCTGTTTAGTGGAGAGACAGCAATCCATTAAAATTCAGACACAGTGGTTAAGATTAGTTAGATTCAGGAGCTCAGTGGTGAAGAGCGTGGACTCTGAATCCAAAGTCCAGTTTCAGATCCCAGTGCTGCTACTTATTAGCTATGTGACCTTGGATGAGTTTCTTAGCCTTTCTGTGCCTTGATTTCTTTATCAATACAATGAGTATAATAGCATGTATTTCATAGAATGATTGTGAGGGTTAAATGAGTTAATACATGTACAACTCCTAGATCAGGGCCTGGTGTACGGTAAGCTCTATATAAGTGTTAGCTGTTATAATTTGTGGAGGAAAGGTGTGTACAGGATACACTGGCAGTACTGAGCAAGAAATGACTCACTGTTGGTGAGGCAGTTGGGGAGGGGAGGTTTTGCAGAGGAGGTGATGCCTGAGCAAATTTGAAGCCCAAGTAGGAGTTTATTAGGTAGATGTGGTGAGAAGAGCAGGTGGAGGGAGCAGTGCAAAGGCACAGAGACTTCCACAGCATGGATTCTTAGGGAACACCAAGAAAATGGTCATGGCTGGGATATAGGAAATGGTGATTAGTGGGCGGTAAGGCTGGATCCAGGTGAGACTGGATCAAGAAGGTCTTTTTGTGCGAGCTGGACTTCATCACAGAGGCTAGGAACTGTTTCCTTTAATAGCTCCATCCATGGCTTAAGGTTGAGAAATACTGTTAGGTGAAACCAGTGTAGGTGTAGATGAGAATATATGAGTTCATGTGTGCCTGGGGAGGAAGTAAATCTTTTGAACTCATAATAAAATCTCCTGGGTCAAAGGAGATGCAGGGGATACATTTCTTACGTATTGCCTTACTGTCTTCTGGAAAGTTTGCCAGTTTTAATTCCCACCACTGCAACGTATGAGAGTGCCCGTTTCCTTGAGTTCTTGACAGTACTAGATATTATAATATAACAAAAGTCCTTTTTAGTTTCATAAAAAGAAGTATCTCAGAGTTGTTTTAATTCGACATTCTTAAAAATAAAAATGAGGTTGGCCATCCTTTTATATGCTATTGGCTATTTGTATTCTTTCGTAATTTGCCTATTTGTATTATTAATTTTTTTCAACTTTTTAAGTAAGAAAGAAGATAAGACTTCTCACAGATTTCAATATATTTATCACATCTCCCTGGTATTGAGTGAAGCTTTATCTTACTAGAGCAGATTTAGCACTTTAGACTGTTTAAAGAGGGTAACTCTTATTTCAGTTAATTTCTTTGTCTTATCACACTATCAGAAGGGGTAGAAACAAAATCCTATTTTTAGCATTCCCATGTGCTTGTATTTGGATCCCTTCATTTAGGAAAACTCTACAGTTGTGTCAATTGAAGTTCCAGGGGCATCAAAAAGTATTTGTTATGGAGTAGCCTTGTAAAAACTTCTCATTTTAATTCTAATTTTATGCCAATCTGTCCTTCTTAAGGAAGAGAGACAGTAAAATGAATAAAGCTAGCATTTTCTGTTATATATAACAATACGTATCAGAATAAATGGCTATCACAAACAATATTTAAATATAATTGATGCCAAAATTATGTTCTATCTAGTATAATATATGTGGGCTGCTGCTTTGGGGAATAAATCTATTTTTCATGTTTCTATTAAATTTTCATTGATTGGACCAGTGTTTTTGAAATGATGCATCTACAGGAGATTGAAGTATGTGTCTAAACATGCATTGGGTGTGCTATAGGGAAAACTGCAAAGAGCATTTACAGTCACTGATGAAATTATGCTTTTTAGCCTTTGTACTTGTTATGTCACTAATAATGCCTTAAATCCTATGTTTACTGATTTTTAGATTATGTGTCTACGAACTAGCATTAGTTATTGTGGTGCTAAATATTGTGAGGTTTAGATGAGGTAATGTTTATGTGGAAAAAAGCAGGATATTATATACAGTATAAAAATGTGTACCTAAAAATTGGGATGGAAGGAAATGCACCAAATATTAACAGAATCTTAGATGTGTCTGCTTTTGGCCAGGTGTTCACTTTTCCAAATGAGCACTGAAATGTTTTACTCTTTAAAAAGAATGTGAAGTAACTAATATTATAAAGCTGCAACTACAAAGTTAAATGAAAATGTCATATATGAACATGGATTAGTTTATAGGGACTAAAAATCCTTTTGGTGCATGATGTGTGAAATAATGTTAATTACTACTCTGATCTTTGGAATTTGGTGTGACTGTTTAAGCCTCCAAGCATTCGGGTTATTTTATGTATTTTTAATTGTTGAATTGCCAACAGAGCTTGTGGTTATCATCATTTCAATCATTGTATATCGTAAAGGAATACTATATTCACTTGATTTTAAAACTTTGTTAATGCATTACAATTTTTTTTTTCTAGTTTTCCCTTTATCTGGGATAATCTCTTCCTCACGCTCTCAGTGACTTCCTTTTCTTTTCATACTGTTATTGCATTCTCTAATGATATTCTACTGTTCTTATCTTCTCTTGCTCACCTTACCCCCTATCCTCAAGCTCTGGCACTGGCTAAATAAGAAGGTAAATGAACACACGGATGTTGGTTTTTACTATTGAATTCTGTAACTTCCCCCCATCTCTCTCTTCTCACTCTGTTTCAGTCCATATGTCAAACTAAGTTTTTGTTTGTTTTTAAAGTTCTAACTATAAGCTATGGAAGGTCATGAAGCATTAATACTGTCGCAGTACAATTTGCTAAAAACTCAAAGGCTTAAATAGCCATTAAATCCTTAATGGATTTGAACGGTATCTCCTTGCCAAAGTGTTTGTAAGAAGTTCTGTCCTGTAGTCCTTTTGTTCTCTGTAAGTGATTTCCATTCCTTTTCAGGTCTATAATGTGGCTCAGCCTGATACTCTAGTCTCCTTTGATGTGTTGAAAGCACATTAGGCAATAGTTATTGAAAGGGAAGAGAACTCTTTCTTGCTACTTTTTATATAACTGACAGGAATTTTTCAAAATGATAAATCTGTGAAGTATTTGTGTGATTCCCTTGGCTGGTTATTTTATATATTGTCTTTTTTTATAACTAGTATTCCAGAATTTTATTTTTAACTTAAAAAAGATTGTAGTCATAGCCTGTGACATCTAATTTCATGTATTTACCAAGATATGAGATTGTATCTATGGTAAATGCTTCACATGATTGGCGTGGAATTATAATAGGTACATTTTTAATAACTTCAATAAAGGCTAATCCAAATATATTAGGAGTGCTGTACCTCTGACATATAGTCTGTGTATAGAAGTTCTGGACTTAATTTCATTAAGTCCCTAGGACAGATAGCAAGAGATGACATCATTTATGTGTATCGTGTTTAAACACAATAAGACTCTTAAAAGTCTTCAGTGGAAATATTACAGGCCTTAAGAAACATGTGATACCTCTTGGAAATAAAATGACACTTTTGAGTGTAGAGATTAGGATTTCATTCTGTGGAAAAAGAGGAAAGGGGAGACTTTCAACAATGCCTAAAGTTCTAAACTTTGGATTGAAAGTAAATAGTATGTAAAATAAATAGACACGCACACCATCACCATACATACACACACACGTGGTTATATATACAGTCATGCGTCACTTAACGATAGGGATGTGTTCTGAGAAATGCATCGTTAGGCGATTACAGAGTACTTACACAAACCTAGGTGGTATAGTCTACTATGCACCTAGGCTATATGGTGCTAATCTTATGGGACCACTGTTGTATGTGCAGTTGGTCGTTGGCCGAAACGTTACAGTGTGGAGCGTGACTGTACCCCCAATTCCCTACAAAACTATTAGGAGTAAATGAGTTCAATCCTTAGTAGATGTTAGTGCTGCAAACATAAGTCATGTGTTCATGTTTTGATCAAAGTAGGTGCTTTTATGTATTTCATTAATTTGTATATATTGAAATGAAATTGTCCTCAAGAAATGGGAGAAAGGAGAGCTAAAATCATTAGGTTTAATTTGATTTAAGCTTCGATGACTAAATGAGTTAGATATCTAATTACTAGCCTAATTCACAGCTGACTAGTGAGTTAGTTTTAAAAGATTCCTCAGAGATCAAGTGACGTTTTTCTTTTCTTTGATGGTTCCGTGTAGCATAGATAAATTATTGGTGTAGAGTTGGAGTAACTGCTTGAAGTTCTGAGAGTGTATGCTCCAGGAAAGCACATAAATAAGTTGAGGACTATTTTATTACGTTACCCAAGGTCAGAAAATTGCAGCACTGGATATTTGGTATTCCAAGTTCAAGTGGAGTGGATTAGGAAACCAATTCAAGAGAAGCGAGGGTGAGAGAACACATCTTATGGTTAATTGAAATGTAACCAATTTCTCAAGGCTTAATTGTTGAATTATTTCTTAGTATATTGATTATTTGCACTGACTCAACTAGAATTTGGTTCAAAAAAACTAAACAAAATAAAAACCTGCAGGCCTAGAATAATGAAACAGAGAAAACTCAGTAGTGGAATGACTTGCTCAGTAGCTTGATAAACAAGGCCAGTTCAGTGTAGAAGTTTGAGTGTCTTTCGGTATAGCTATAAATTTACCGACATCTCTAAATTTTAAAAAATGCATGTCCTTCATTCACATTTGAAACATTTTAATGTCATTTTATTATGTCTCATTTATAATGTCTCCTTCTCCTTTTAGAAAATAAAGTTTAAGAACTAAAATAATTTCTCACAGCGTGGAAGACTGGGGAAATTCCTAGAGACTGTGATTTTCGCGAGCAGGGCAGTGATGACAGGTGGTGTGGTTTCCTTTGCCCAGAGCAGAGCGTGGGACAGGATCGGCCTCGTGGGACAGCACCTCTGGCATTTCTTTAGGAATTCTCCCGTCCATCCCCTTCCCCTTCCCCGTTGCGTCCTCTGTCCATGTTTCTCTTTCTGTGTCCACGAGTTTCTGTCTGCTTGTGAGTCTTGTTCCATTCACTCTTTCAGGAGGTTCTTTTCCTTCATTTGAGTCTTCTGTCTGCTTTGTTTTTTCCTCTCTATTGGTCCCTAGTTCTCTGCAGCAACTCCCCTCTCCCCACATTTTTAAGTCTTCCCCTGACTCGCTTTCGCACTCTTTTCTCTCTTTTGCTGTCTCTCGTTTCATCCTGTTCTTTCACGTTATCTTAGCTGACCATAATGTGGATAGGAAAAACGCCAACTTTTTAGCTTAGGTATTGAGCATCTTAAATGATTTTATTTGTTTTAAGTTTTCTTTTGTGTGTGAGGAAGGTCAGCCCTGAGCTAACGTCCATGCCAATCCTCTTCTTTTTGCTGAGGAAGACCGGCCCTGAGCTAACATCTATTGCCAATCCTCCTCCTTTTTTCCCCTTTTTCTCCCCAAAGCCCCAGTAGATAGTTGTATGTCATAGTTGCACATCCTTCTAGTTGCTGTATGTGGGACGCCGCCTCAGCATGGCCTGACAAGCGGTGCATCAGTGGGCGCCCGGGATCCAAACCCGGGCCGCCAGTAGCGGAGCACGCACGCACTTAACCGCTAAGCCACGGGCCTGGCCCCTGTTTTAAGTTTTGAATGAAACATCTAACTCTCACTGTTATCCCTTGAATATAAATTTTTGTTTAGATGACTCTTAGTATGGATTTTTTCCAACCCTTGGCTTGGTTGGATATGGCTTGTGATAGGAAAATTCTACCCTGGCTTAAAAATAAAAAATCTGATTTTGTAATGTTAATGTACCTAATGTGTTTGTGAATATTCCATGTTTTATATGTTAAAAATACCCAGACATAAATTTAGATATTCATACTTTCCAAATAAAACATTATTTACATTTAAAAATATATTTCAGGATATGACTTTTCTAAAAAATTTGAGCCTCCCAAGTTATTTTCAGAAATTGTAATTTGTGAATACAAATCTGGTCTTAATTCTAAAATTATTTTATTTATGCTTGCCTATTCAAATATATATTAATTGAGGTTTACCATGTGCCATGTACTGTTAGGTTTTGGAGATACAGAGAGGAGTAATACAACGCTAGCCCTCAGGAAGCTGTCTCAAGAACTAGGTGTAGAGTTGGTTTCTGATTGTAAAACTTTCTGGTTTCATTGATTTTGGAACTTATGTGCAAAATACAAAATCTGACCTTCCATATCTTAGAAACCTGTTATTACTTATTTTAATCTCTACGTTGTGTTCAATGCTTTGGTAGCATGCACTGAAAATTAACTCTTCTGTTGGAATCTGTAATTGTCAAGATAAGAGATGAACGTTTTATCTTTGAGTTCACTGTAGCATTGGTCTCTTAGTGACAGTACCCTTCATGAAAGATAAGGGGGATGCCAGCTTATAAGCGTTGAGTGGAAAATAAATGTGGTAGAAGTTATATGGTTTTTACCAGCATTCTTTCCTCCTGGATGTTTAACTCACTGTTCGGAGAATGTAATTCAGATTTAAATTAAGGATAACGTACTCCTCGGTGCGATAGCTCATGTTAGGGTTGAGGGGTACAATGTGATGTTTTCAGCAGTCATCAGTCTAGTTGATTGTATTTTTAAAATGTTAAATGGTAGCTTTGCATGGCAGGAATTCTAGAAATCTGTCAGAATTATTATATATTCTGAAAACAAAATTTTTTTAAATGTAGGATTATTTGTGAAAGATGAGGGAAGTTATACCTAAAATAGAATTTTAAGTAGCATTTAAGGAGAGCGTAATTTTAATTATTGACTAAGGAATAACCACTACATTAATGATTATTTTTTATTTATAGTCACTTAATTATAATTTGTCATAAAGCTTGTTTTTAAAAAAATAAAAATTTCAAGTGGAATATTAGTTTGTTTTTTTTTTTTTTTGATGAGGAAGATTGGCTCTGAGCTAACATCTGTGGCCAATCTTCCTCTTTTTGCTTGATGAAGATTGTCCCTGACTGAGCTAACATCTGTGCCAGTCTTCCTCTATTTTGTATATGCGATACCGCCGCACAGCATGGCTTGATGAGCAGTGTGTAGGTCCGTGCCTGGGATCTAAACCTGTGAATGCTGGGCTGCCAAAGTGGAGCACGCAAGCTTAACCACTGCGCCACCAGGCTAGCCCCAGAATATCAGATTGTTAAAAGTATTTTATTATGAAATATTTCAAATATAAAAAGATACAAAGAACACCCTGTGCCTAACCTCTAGCCTGATAAAACATTACCTAACTGGAGCCCGTTTTGTACCCGTCTCTGATTGTGCATCTAGCTCTCAGCCGTTTGCCCCCCAGATTAACTATTATTCTGAAATTGTTATTTATCATTACCTTAACATTAGATTTTTATTATTACTGTTTTTGTAATCCTAATGACATCAAAGGGAAAAAATGTTTTGAAATTCCTATTTTAATTTGCTCCTATTTTATCTGTATAATTTAGGACATACCTGTTTTATAAGAGGCATACTTTTTCTAAAGTCATCTATATTTGCTAATTGATGGTAAAATTTCATGAGATTTGAGGTCAGCTAATGGATTGTCATCATTTTGTTTAGAATATTTACCAGGTTATAAATTATGATTTGAAATGTAAATATACCACACTATGTGATTTCAAACATAGATATAGATTGCCAAATTGACTGCCTTTTCTTAGATATGAAAACAATAAACTCTATAGAACAACAGTAATTAATACTGTTAGTTAATTTTCTAAAGTTGCTTACAGCTTTCACTGCTTTAATCATTATGCCCTAGTTTGCTTGGCAATTCTGAATATCTTATTTTGTCTTCATGATATTTGAATGCATATATTTTTATTAAGTTGTACTTTATAAAGATAAGTAATTCTCTCTTTCATTTCTGTGCAGATGATCATCTGGTTGGAGAAGATGTTAGACAAAATAATTAGCATTTTCATCATATTTTTGTTAGTGATAGGAACTCTTCTTTTAGCCCTACTCCTGACCGCAAAGGTAAAGTAAAATAATTACTATTACCATTAATCAACTTTTAATTGTTGGAATTGTAGGATGGATAAGATGCTAGCAGAAGCAGCATGGGAAATGTTACTTTGTTTATAAATATGTATAACAGCTAAAGTACTTATGATTTTTGCATTACTAATTGCCATGAATTTGCTTAGTATATTTTTTACATGCATTTTTATTTTATTATCGTCAAAATTTTTAGAGGCAAATGCAGCTGAAAAAATTGAGATACTGAGGAACAATTGGCGTCTTCTGGTAATAGGAGACTATGATCTGGTCTCATGACTCCTCATCTAGTTAGTACCCTGTTTGCTAGATCAGAATTTCTTGATTAGCTCCTTCCCTTCTTGTCTCATTGGACTTTCTACTGATATACCACAGGATCTTTATTTCTCACTTTTAGGGTCACTCCAGCTTACATTTCCTCTCCCCTTGCTTGGTTTGGACTGCTATAACAGAATACCATAGACTGGGTGGCTTGAACAACAAACATTTATCTCTTGCAGTTCTGGAGGCTGGAAGTCCCAGACCACGTGCCAGCATGGTTGAGTTCTTGGTAAAAGCCCTCTTCCTGGTTTACAGATGGCTGCATTCTTGTATCCTCACATGGCAGAGAGAAAGATCATCTCTGTTGTATCTCTTCTTATAAGGGAGCTTATATAGGAGCAATACCCCTGTTTCAGCCTCTATACAATTCCTATCTGTTCTTTGGGTATTAGTCATGTATAGTCATGTATAGTCATTTATGTAGACTCTACAGACTTGTTTAGAGACCTTTCTTTGTTTTTGTCATATTTCACCTAACCCTGCCACTATACAGTCTTATCTTCCGTTCTAGTTCTTAGAGAAACCTTTTACCAGCATGGTCCTCTGTTTTCCTTTCTTCTCTTTCTCCTCTCTCTCCTCCTCTTGTTCTATTCCACTTTCTTTTCTTTGTCTCTTTGCATAGGAGCTAATTAGGTTATGAGTTATCCCACTCATAACCTAATTAGCTCCCAATGGCCCCACCTCTTTTTTTTTTTTGTGAGGAAGATCAGCCCTGAGCTAACATCTGTGCCAATTTTCCTCCACCTTATGTGAGACGCCACCACAGCGTGGCCTGACAAGTAGTGCGTCATTGCGCGCCCGGGATCCGAACCTAGGCCGCCAGCTGCGGAGCGCGCGCACTTAACCACTAAGCCACGGGGCCGGCCCTGTTTACTTATTATTAGCATACTTTCCTTTAATTCTCTGAACATATTTATAATAGCTGCTTTAAGGCCTTTGTCTGTTAATCCAACATCTGGGCCACTTAAGCATCCACTTCTTTGACTGTATTTTTTTTTCCCCTGAGTCACACTTTTCTGTTTCTTTGTATATCTAATAATTTTTGGTTAAAAATTAACCAAACCAAACCAGCCCCACCTCTTAATCATCACACTGGAGGTTAGGATTTCAACATATGAATTTTGGGGGGATATAAACATTCAGTCCATAACACCCCTTTCTTTTTTTTTTTTTAATTTACTTTTATTTTTATTTTTACTTTTTTTGTGAGGAAGATCAGCCCTGAGCTAACATCCATGCTAACCCTCCTCTTTTTGCTGAGGAAGACCGGCTCTGAGCTAACATCTATTGCCAATCCTCCTCCTTTTTTTGCCCCAAAGCCCCAGTAGATAGTTGTATGTCATAGTTGCACATCCTTCTAGTTGCTGTATGTGGGACGTGGCCTCAGCATGGCCGGAGAAGCAGTGCGTCGGTGTGCGCCCGGAATCTGAACCCAGGCCGCCAGTAGCGGAGCGCGCACACTTCACCACTAAGCCACGGGGGCCGGCCCCACCCCTCTTTCATCTCATCAAAGAAAATCATTCTCCAAAGGGCAGCTAAAAGTTTATCTCTACAGTGATGTCTCTTACTGACTTGTGTCCGTGACTTTTATAGTGTATTTTAATCTTTAGTTTCTCTGAACTTCACTGAACTCCACAGCCCACATTTTGATATGTTGTCTTAAGGGAATCGTGAAGCTTACATGAAATCGTGGATATGAAAAGTTTTCATATAGTACTATAGAGATATAGTAGTAACTCTTATTGATAAATAATCTAACATGCAGCGATTTGCTAAAGGGTTGCGTTGTTTCTTGCTGTGTAACATCCCCACTTGGAAGTCCTTTTCTCAGCCTCAGTATGTCCTCAATCTTATCATTTGCTCCTAAAAACCTGCTCTCTCAATACCCCTGTTTCAGCCTCTATACAATTCCTATCTGTTCTTTGGGTATTAGTCATGTATAGTCATGTATAGTCATTTATGTAGACTCTACAGACTTGTTTAGAGACCTTTCTTTGTTTTTGTCATATTTCACCTAAACCTGCCACTATACAGTCTTATCTTCCGTTCTAGTTCTTAGAGAAACCTTTTACCAGCATGGTCCTCTGTTTTCCTTTCTTCTCTTTCTCCTCTCTCTCCTCCTCTTGTTCTATTCCACTTTCTTTTCTTTGTCTCTTTGCATAGGGTTGTCTTGCCCACCCATCTCAATTATGTTCATCTTTCAAGTCCTTTTTCTTTGTTCATCCCATGCTTCAGTGAGCTTTTACTTTCCTGAACTTTGATAACATGTATTACTGAATCACTTCTTTGTGGTCTAGGACTCACGCAAACTGACCTTCTGAAGGAAACTTACTGGTTATCTAGTTCATTCTCCCAGCCAATAAAAGGATCATTCTCTAAAACACGACGACAGTATCCATGTGAATGTCTATAGACATCCCAAATGTAACATGTCAAAGATTGTATTCCAGATCTTCCTTCACTCACTTCTCTGTTCTTAGACTCTTCCCATTTCAGTAAGTTACAGCTCCATTCTCCTTGCTCAGGGAAAAAGCCTCAGGGTCATTCTTGACTGCTTTCTTTCTTACGTATCCACATCAAGTTTGTCAGAGGATCCTTTTTGGCTCCATCTTCCTAATATATCTTAGGGTAATAGCAGGGTAAGGATGTTAGGTAATTTCTTTCCACAGAAAGCAGGAATAAAACAGTATAAAAATTTTAAAAACACCACATCAGGGCGTTGGAAAATGACCAGTTAGGCAACAACTTGAGGAGAGTTGCTCATGAAAAACTGCTATTGTGTCTGGTGAAAACAGGTAGCTTGTGGCTTTCTTGCTTGGAGTTACTGTGATCCTGCCTAGCTTGGGCAGTAAAAACCTGCCACTTGTCCTGTGGGAGGTGGTGGACTTGGTGTGGGGCTGGCAGCAGAGTAGCTGTAAGTTAAAGGGAGAGATTCTGGAGGAAAGAAAGCTGTAGAAGGGCTGAAATTAATAAACTATACGTCTTGGACTGATTGCTAAGCTATGCGTGTGTATGTGAGACCCCAAGGAGCCCTGACAATATTGAAAGCCTAGAGAGAGTGGCAAATTTGTGTCTTCGATTGAATTTCTCAACTCTTACACATCTCAGGCTGTGGAGGATGAACTTCTAATGTGAAGTGTCAGAGCATAACTTCTGCCAAAATCATTTGCTAACTGCTAAGCTGTGCAGGTACAGGGAAAATCCTTAGGGAGCCAGGCTTTAAAAAATAATAATAGTAAAAAAAACGTTGAGCAGAGACATCAGTGACAGGGAAGACAGGTTTTTTTTTTTTTAGTTTGAGTACAAGTAAATTAATTGCTCACTGAAATAAAATAACAGCTCTTAGAAGAACAAAACAGAATCCAGAGGTGCTATTTTTTTTTTTTGGTGTCTAATTTTTAACCAAAAATTATTAGATATACAAAGAAACGGAAAAGTGTGACTCAGGGGGAAAAAAAATACAGTCAAAGAAGTGGATGCTTAAGTGGCCCAGATGTTGGATTAACAGACAAAGGCCTTAAAGCAGCTATTATAAATATGTTCAGAGAATTAAAGGAAAGTATGCTAATAATAAGTAAACAAATGCAGACCCTCAACAGAGAAATAGACTATAAAAAAGAACCAAATAGAAATTCTAAGGCTGAAAAGAACAATAACAAAAAAAAAAATTCACTATATAAGCTCAACAGCAGATTTTGAGATTCAGGAAAAAAATTAATGAACTTAAAGAAAGATCAATAGAAAGTATCCAATCAGAAGAACAAACAGATTTTAAAAATACTGGATGAGCGGAGCCTCAGATATCTGTGGGACAATAATCAGACATTTTAACAGACATGTAATTGGCCTCCAGAAGATGAGAAAGAAAAAGTGGAAAAAAAATATTTGAAGAAATAATGGTCAAAAACTTCCCAAGTTTGATGGAAAACGTTAGTAGATCCAAGAAGCTCAGCAAAACCTGAGTAGAAGAAATACACACACACACACACACAACCACACCTAGACACATCATAGGCAAACTGCTGAAAGCCACAGATAAAGAGAAAATCTTGAAGGAAGCAAGAGAAAAAGTACACGTCACACACGGGAACAACAGAACAATTAAGGATTTAATTCTCATAATAAACGGAATACCGGAAGACATTGGGATGACATATTCAAGTCTTGGGGGAAAAAGAGTGGTCAAGCAAGAATTTTATATTCACTGAAACTATTCTTTAAAACTAAAGGCAAAATAAAGACAATTCTAGATAGACTAAAACTGAGAGAATTTGTTAATAGCAGACCTGCACTATAAGGAATGCTAAAGGAATTCCTTCAGACTAAAGAGAAATGACTTCAGAAATAACTTGTATCCAAAGGGAGAAGTGAAGAGCATTTGGTAAAACTGTGGGTTTATGTAAGTTATATTTTTTTCTCTCTTCTTTTAATTTATTGAAACAACATGACTATGACTATGTAAGAAAAATTGTAACACTGTGTTGTAGAGTTTATAATAAACAGATGAACTATATGTATGTATAACCATAGCACAAAGAAGACTGGGAAATAGAACTATATTGGTATGAAGTTCCTATAAATATTTTACTGTAAGTAAGTCAATATTAACTTGAAGTAGATTATGATAAATTAAAGATGTGATAAATTTAAGATAAATAGCAATTACTAAATAACACAAATTTTAGGGGAACTAAAATGGTATACTAAAAAAAAATTGCTTAACATCAAATGCAGTAAAAGAGGAACAATAGAGATGGGACAGAAAGCAAAAAGCAAAATGGCAGACTTGGATCGGGTCATAGCAATGCTTATATTAAATCGAAGGCAGTTAAACAATCAAAAGACAGAGATTTTCAGACTGGATATAAAGAAGTTCCATGGTATCTATTTCAAGAGATACACTTGAAATTCAAAGACATAAAAAGATTGATGGTAAAGGATGAAAAAAGATACACCATGCAAACTATAAACATGCAAGATGTGGAGTGTGTTAATATCAGACAACATAGTTAAGACATATTACTGGAGACAAATAAGGACTTTTCGTAATGATAAAAGTTAATACTGCAGTGAGATATAACTATTATAAATGTGTATGTTCTACCAATAGAGCTCTAAAGTATATGAAGCAAAATATTCAGAATTAAAAGGCAAAATAAACAAATCAATGATTATAGTTAGGGATTCATTAATACTCCTCTTGCAATAATTGAGAGAATAGGTAGATAGAAAATTAGTAAGGATATGAAAGCCTTGAAAAACAGTGTTAACCAATTTGACCTAATTGACAACAGCAGAAGCATGTTGTTTTCAAGTAAACATGGAATACTCACCAGGATTTACCATATGTTCAATATGCTTAATAAATTTATATATAGTTAAATCGTATAGAGCATGTTTCCTGACACTGGCTTGTTCCTTTTTTATCTCCCTCATTTTGTTGGTTATTGGGCTAAGTAAATTCTGAGCAGTTTCAGTTGGCTTTTTTCACTCAGAAACCTTACTCAGTTGCTTATTTGCCTCTATATCTCACATGCGTTATAATTCTATAAGCTGGTGTAGTGTTAATGTTGCTTACATATATATATATATGCACATACACTATATATATACATACACTGTATATATACATACACTGTATATATATACTATATATACACACACGTATGTGAACTAAATATATTTATAATGTGTGTATGTGTAGGTATTTATATATATATTTTTTCCTTAAGTAAATCGTTGAGCTTCTTGAAGGCAGGGACTATTAGGTACGTTTGATTTTCCATAATGTGTGTCATGGGATATTATATATAGCAGCTGTTTGGTGCAGATTTATAAATTAATTGCAACTAAGATGTGTAATTATTTGACTCGAAAAGCATTGTTCCATAATAGTGTAGAAAAACAGATGTTAAGTTGGGTTTGTTATTGAGATTCTTTTCTCTCTCTTTATCCATAATATAGGTACATCAAGAGAGTGTACACATGATTGAAGTCACAAGCAATTTGATTAATGAGACTCTAGCGAATCACCCTGAGTGGGCAAAGTAAGAATATTGTTTTCATAAAAATAGAGGTTGATGACCTAGGTTCAGTGTCTGTTTGCATGAAGTGGTCTTCATTGATGCAGCTCCCTTGGAAGAGAAAAGATAGGATTTGCCAAAGCTTTAATGAGTGTTGTCATTTTTGCATAAGAATTGCATGTAATAAGGGAGAGAGAGGGAGGTGAAGGTGGGGGGAAGTGCTTAAGATTTTGGGAACAATTTATGATAAATGATACCTTATATTTGAATTGAGATTTACAGTTTACATGTTTATAATTTACGAAGCACTTTCACTTATGTTGTGACCTGTCTTTCTCACAGTGACTATGTGTGGTAGGTTGAAGAAATTATCCCCATTTCACAGCTGAGGAAATAGGATCAAAGGTTAAGGAACTTGAAATAATAATCCCCCAGTGGCAGAGTCAGTGCTCATACCCAGTGTTTCTGATCAAGTAAAGGGAGCTTTCCAACATACAATGTGGTTCCTCAAGTTTCTGTATAGTTCTTGATATATTCCTGTGTTGTATCATTTTCAAGTCAGGGTTGGCAAACTATGGCTCAGGATCAAATGCAGCCACCTGTTGCTGTAAATAACGTTTTATTGGAACACTCACATCCGTTCATTTACATATTGAATTGAGTAGTTGTGACACAGATTGTATGTTCCAAAGAGCTTAAAATATTTACTCTCTGGCCCTTCATAGAAACAATTTGCCAGTATCTGTCTTGGAGGATCTCTTTGCGTACTTGTTTAATTTGGCTTCTGTGAGAGGGCTTTTCTGTCTTTATGGGGAATGTTCAGCAGAGCTACGCTATTCACCTACTTGAACTTGATGACAGATTGCACGGCCTCCTTTTTTACTAACCCCTAGGTAGTCAATAATTTAAGTTAGGAAATACTTTGCCACTTTTAGGATTGTAAATTTAGATTTAACTTGGTTTTCTCCTTTGACTCGAGTTTATTTCTTTATATAAAACCTGCTTAGGACATGTCTTTACTTGAACTTGGTGTAGAATCATATTTGAATATTCTTAAAAGGATTTCACTCAAAGTATATTTCTACCTACTTATCTCCTTTACGCGGAGCATACTGAAAGTGCTTGTCCTCGATATTTCTTGTTCCTTACAAATTGTGATACATCCATACAGTGGAATAGTACTTAGCATTAAATAAAAGTGAACTGTCAGTACCTACAACAACATGAATGAATCTCAACATAATTATGCTGAGTGAAAGAATTCAGGCAAAAAAAGAGTCCAAAGGATATGATTCCATTTATGTAAAGTTCTAGATATGCAAACTGATCTATAGTGACGGAAAGATCAGGGGTTGCGTGTGGCTAGGGGTGGGCTCTAGGGGAGAGCACAAAGGGGCACAAGGAGGCTTTCGAGAGTGAAGGATATGTTTGTTATCTCGATTAAGGATATAAGCAGAGAAGGGACATAACATTTTATTCTAGAACAGTCTTTCCATCTGCACTGTGGAGAAAAGATGGAAGGGGTACAAGACTTGAGCCTTTTAGACCAGTTAAAGGCCAGAATAAACGCGGCCAGAGGTGATGAAGCGCTGGATTGTGGACAGTGGTGGTGGGGGTGAACAGGATGATCGATTTGTAAGATCTTAAGTGGATTAGTTGGTGATTAATTGGATATAGGCAGAATCAATGTAGCATGACTCATGTTTCCAGCTTTGGAAGTTAATGGAATAATGGTGGATTTACCAATATAGGAAATAGACGACCAGACTTGTTGGGAAAAAATAATTCATTTACTTTTTTTACCTGTTGAGTTTGAGGTGTCTGTGGTAAGTATAAGCAGAGGCATGCAGAAGGTCATTGGCTGTGCTGGTGTGCATTTCAGGAGAGGGATCTGGAATGAAGTTAAAAAATTGGCAGCCTTAATGTCTAAAGGGCTTCTTTTCTTTCATGATCACTCATTAGTGAAAATAAGTCTAGAGCCCTTCTGTACTGGTTTTCAATTGTAGTAGCACTGTTCTACTACTGTATTGGTGACGTACACAATCTGAGTAGCCCCAGATCAGAGTAGTTGTAGAAAGGCGGTTTTTCTTTTGTTTAAAACTTTGAAATATTATAGACTCACAGGGAGTTGCAGAGAAATCCCATGGACTCTTTACTCTACCTCCTTCAATATTGTCATCTTGCATAACTATAGTGCAGTAACAAAACCAAGAGATTCACATCAATTCAACACACAGAGCTTCTTCAGCTTTCACTAGTTTTACGTGCACTCGTGTGTGTATGTGTGTGTGTTTTCTGCATTTTTATCATATGTGTAGCTTCTGTAAGCTCTCAACACCATCAAGGTTCAGAACTATTCCATCACTACAAGACTCCCTCATGCCACCCCTTTATAGCCACACCTACCCTTGACCTCCTCCTTCAACATATCCCTAACCCTTGGTTACCAATAATCTGTTCTCCATATCTATAATATTGTTTCAATAAAGATATATAAATCAAGTAATAGAGTATGCAGACTTGTGAGATTGGTTTTTTTTTCACTTAGCATAATTCCCTTCAGGTCCATCGAAGATGTTGTATGTGTCAAGGGTTTGTTACTTTTTATTGCTGAGTATTATTCCATGTAGGAAGGTTTTTAAAAGCGTTTAGACTTGGGTGCTTCATGGAAGGTCTGATTGTTTTGCAGCAGATTAGTGGAGGTGGACATGAATTAATAGTAATGGTTTCTTGCAAATCTCAGTACTGAGTGGATTTCTGTCCTGAAGATGGCAGTTGACCTTGTGGAAATTCATGTGGATACTCCTAGTGGAGATGGTACAGTTAAGAATTGATCAGATATACTTTCTTCCAATGTGGTGCACATTTTATATCCCCTATGTAGGTACCTTGACTTCCCATGGATGTGCTTGATGGGCTGGTGGATAAATTAGAAAGACTTAGGATATGATCATCCTAGCAGAGCTTCAAAGAAAATGAAGTTGAAGTCAAAGCACATCTTAATTCTTGTCTTGAATGATTCTATTAGTCTGGAACTCATTTTCTATTTTCTGCTGACTAGTCTCAAGCCTGCTGATTCTCAGGTCCCTCATTAGGAGATGGCACTGAGATGGTACTGAACATGGCTTGCCCTTACTTGGGAGGAAGCCAGTAAGCTAAGCTAAGTTTTTATAGTGGCTGTTTTCTTGGTGGGTCATATTGTGATAGAGATTAACCTTGTCTCAGGAGGGGGGGGGGAGTGTGAGCCACTCCAGACTGTAGGAACTTGGTTTCTCCTGAGGGGATCCCTCTTGACTCAGGTAGGAGAGAGAGTGATTGGCTGAGGCAGTGAATATCCTGTGGAAGGAGCTCAGTTTAGAGGTGTTGTTGGTGTAAGATCACGGCACATCCTCAGGTGTTTCTGGCCCCATGTCTCCTGGATGGCACTTGTTTTGAGGAGGTCTAGAGTGAGCCAGGAACTTTGACTTGGCCTCACGACAGCTCCTCTTATCTGTTGCTATTAGGACACCTGCATGAGTATATTGATGAAGTGTTTTCACTGCAGCCAGCAAGACTTTATCAGGCCTAATAGAGATTTGTTAGTCATTCAGGATCAATCCAGATACCTCTGTGAATCCTCACACTTGAGAATAACACTAGAAGATATAATTTTCCCATAAAAGTGTAGTACCATATAATTGAAAATATTCAGCAGTCCCCTCAAACCATTGAGGAATCCATAAATACTAGAGTCATTTAAAAGCTACTTAAGTTAATTTCTCCCAAATCTCATCTCTATTTAGAGATCCAAATTTCCTGTTCATAACCTTTTACTGTGAGATTATTACATTTATAAGCATCTCTAAAGCTTTGTCTTACTTGCTGAGAAATAATTGAACTGACTGAGAATTTGCAGAAAGCTTCACAAACATTTTAAGTTTGTTTGGAGTGTAGGACGAACTGGTTAATATTAAAGATTCAAACCATTACCGATTTGACATTCCACTTTTTAATTTATCACAAATATCTTTTCTTGTTAAAAACCATCACTTTCCTAGGCAGGCATCATTACTTCCATGGCTATCAGTGGTAGTTGGCTTTCTTTTTATGATCATCTTACACACACACACAAGCAAGTTACCACTTCTGATTTACTGTATAAATTACTACAGGTGCGTAAAGCTGCTGTGAATTATGGTTGTTGCACATTTGACTTGACTCACTGTTTGACTCTTTCCCATATGCCAGCTCTGTAGCATGTGTCATATTTGGGCCCCAGGAAACTGATTAGTTACTGCTTGCCATGCCTTTTGACATCACTCATGAAAAGTTGAAATCAGGACTGTTAAATTTGTGAATGTCAACACCTCTGGTATACAACATTGTGAGGAGCAATTAAGAGAATATGTGGAAATATTTTCTCCTTTGGAGAACACTGAGCGTATGTAACATATTATTGATTAAGGCAAATGCCCGGTTAGTTAACAGGAAAATGGGGAGGCTGCCTCGCACTGCACCAGGAGTAAAGCTTGTAGACTGCCAGTTCCTCGTACAGCTGGAACTGTGCTTAGGTGTCCCTCACATCTTAAAGAAAAAGATCTTCAATGGATAAAAATTGAAAACAGTGATTGACCCACTGATTTTCTTGTTTTCTTCCTCAGTTCACTTTCTTAGATCAGTGGTTCTCAGATATTAGTGTGCATCAGAATCACCTGGTGAGCTTGTTAAGGTACAGATTGCTGGGCCCCAGCCCAGAGTTTCTTTTTCAGTAAGTCTGGAGTTGGGCCCAAGAATTTGCATTTCTAACAGGTTTCTGGGAAGCTCTGATGCTGCTGGTCCATGGACCACACTTTGAGAACCATCATTTTGAGTCCCAGATGCTGACTATCCTGGTGTCCCAGAACCAGTTCTGCTGATGTTGAATAAGGCAGATGACCCAGGATGTGTGTGGACAGAGAAACCAGGCGGAACAGAATGAAAGAGAGGTTATGGGGAAAGTGGGTTTAAAAGATAAGGAAAGCTTGAAGAGAAATCCTGAATGTTAGAATTAGGCCAGTTAGGCCTGGAAATCAAGGATTCCTGTGTGTGATTCATTTGTGTCTGTGTGTTGATGACTGATCAACAGTTTGTCAGTTACTGATTGTTTAATACGTTGAGTTCAAAGAGTTATTGGTGCAGTACACTAAAAGTGTACTAGTTTAAAAATTTTTTTCTTTCTTTATTTTAAATTAGTTGGCTTCCTGAGGCTCAGGTAGTCCAAAGAGCACTCAATTCTGCGGCTAACAATGTGTATCAGTATGGACGAGAATGGATAACCCACAAGGTAAGGGAAGAGCCTTTCTTTGTGGCTTCTTCTTTGCAAGGTTTTCATTGGAAGTGATTCCTTGCTTTGATAAAGTGTAGATGGAGATTCTGTTTGGAACAATTTCCCTTTTGAAATAGGCTTATATCCACAAGGCAACAAGCAACATACAATGAAGTTAAATCTTCCAGGTGATCGTACTAAATAGTGCTGGTAGCCTGAACAACGTGAGAGGTTGGCTATTTGCTTCTTGTTTAAGATAGATCTTATTCATTATTTATGCATTAGGACAGAATAATCCAAAGCTTGGGTGGTCAAATAAGGCTTTGTGGAGAAAAAAGTATTAGCACATATAAAATTTTATTATCTGCTGGCAACTGTGCTTGGCAGTTTCCAATATGTTTCATTTAATCTTTCCAAGAAACCTGCAGTAGTCTGAATTATTTTGCCCACTTTACAGATGGGGAAACAGATTCAGTAAGGCTAAGTAAATTCCCAGTGGTCATGTAGTCAATTGCAGAGCTTGGTTTCAAATAGGAGACTAACTCCAGGTCCCTTGCTCTTTCTGCTGTAGTGTTCTAGAAGTGTGTGCTTAGAACTGGGATGAGTGCTTTAATGTGGCAGTTGGGATAAATCTTGAAGGAATGATAGGTCTTAGATGAATAAAGAGAAAGAAGAGTGTATTTTAAGAAGAGATATTTATGTGAGCCAAGATGTAGAAACGGGAGTGTGCTTGAAGAGATTAGCTTGATTAAAACTTTGTGAAGGGGAAATCAAAGAGGAAAAGACACAATTATGGCAGTTAAGGATCAGACTGCAGGATATGGATTTGGGATATCTTTTTTCCCCCTAATATTGCCTATGGGAATGAAGGTAACTTGAAGTTTAATATTTTGAAGTAATTAGGGTCATCTAGGGATTGACAAAATTTGTTGGAGTGAGATGTGTGCCCAGAAAAAAAGTATTAGTTTGTGATTATGTGTTCAAAATTCAAAACAAAGTCTCAACAAAAAAAGGTATCTTGGAAATTATAATGCACACATGTGTATAGTGATCTACTAACCTTAGGATGGAATTGTGGTCAAGTTAAAAGTTAAGAGAGAGATACGTGTTATTGATTTTCTTGAGTCTATACCAGATAACGTAATCAACTGTCCCATGGAAGTCTAAAAAATATTTATTGAAAAAATGAAAGATAAATATATGGATATAGATCTTAGAATTCAGAGGGAAGATCAGCCATTGCAGAAGACTTTTAGCCTTCTAGAAATATGTTGGCTTACTTATTCTGCTGAAAACATAGTGTTTAGTTTGTTTTTTCTATTTGGGACAAATAGATTTTTAGTCTGGAATTTTTACCTATTTGGGAAAAGGGTGAAAAAGGAATTTGAGTAGCTGGAGAAATGTGCCTTAGATTTTAAAGAAGTAAGTTTCAAATTACTTAGAGAAAAGCTAGGTTTGAAACCTATTGCTCAAGATTCTAAAAGGGAAGACAGCTGAAGAGAGATGGTCATTGCTAACAAAGTTGTAAAATATTTGTGATCATGACTTAAGAAGACACGGGGATAATATCTAAAAGCAACCATTGACGGTCCATCAACTGATGAATGGATAATTCAATGTGGTATATCCATATAATGGAATATTATTTGGCCATAAAAAGGAATGAAGTACTGATATATTCTACAACATGAATGGACCTTGAAAACATTGTGCTTAGTATAAGAAGCAGTCATGAAAGACCACATATTGTTATCGAGCAATGGGCTTGCTTTGCCGTGATCAGAGCCAGTTAATCACAATGAGTTAGGGATCGAGAAACGAAGTTTTAATTTGATTAGCCGGCATAACTGGGAAGATGGTAGGCTAATGTCTCAAAAAACCATCTTCAGAGATGACAGAATCTTGAGGCAGTTATGTAGGGAAAATGGGCAGTGAGGAGGGGGTCCAGGGATGTTGGTCTCCAGGCATGACGGGCTCCAGGCATCACATTGTTCTATTTTTTTGTCAGCGGTGATGGATACCTTGTAGGGTATGTTTTCCTGCACGTGGTCAGCCTGTTCCTGGAGAGAAACTCATAGAACAAAGTTTTATCAAGCTATTGGGAAACTCATAGAACAAAGTTTTAATTTATCAAGCTATTGATATTTTAAAATATCAAGCTTACATATGTACTGTTTACATATGTAAGCAGAGGCCATAAATCAGGAGAGCATGTGAATTTTTTTAGAGTATGTGTAGAGTAGCGAGTAGTCACATGGAGGGGCTGGGACCGTTTAGTGTAACAAATGGCTTCCCTTATGCTCACTTAAAATATGTATGATTCCATTTATATGAATGTCCGGAAGAGACGTATCTATAGAAAGTAGAGTAGTGGTTTCCTGGGTAACAGGGGATTGGAGAGAATTAGGGGAGTGATTGCTAATAAGTATGGAGTCTCCTTTTGGGGTGATGAAAAATGTTCCGAAATTGATCGTGGTAGTGGTTGCATAACTCTGAATATACCAAAAAACTATTGAATTGTACACTTAAATGAGTAAGTTGGAAGGTCTGTGAATTATATCTCAATAAAGTTGTTAAAAAAAAAAAAAAAGGACCCATTGTAATTGTAGAGGTAGCTTTCTGATAAGCTCAGATCTTACCCAGCTAAGAATCATGTCAGAATTGGGTCCTAAGAGCTAAAGTCTGGAAGGGACCGAGGCTAGGAAAAAATGCCATGCTCAGAAAAGGAAAAAAATTTTTTAGGGTGTGTTTAGGTGTGAACAGAGAAGGTTCCTGTCTGTCTGCCCCCAGCCTACTTTGTCAGCCTTCTCTCCTGTGTCCTCTATGCATTGTTTGGATTCTACTCAGACCTCCCAGTTTGCTATTTTCTCAGCATCCAATTTACTTTCTTCATTCAACATCCTTGCTTGAACTATTCTTTCTGCTTGGTGTGCTCTTGCTAAAATTTGTCCCAGGAGATGCTGCCCTAACACAGCAAGAGAATAATGAATACGTTTCCTCTGTCCCTTCCCCCGTGACTAGAATGAAGAAAGTGACAGCCAGTCCACAAAATGTCAGGCACTGTTCTAGGTGCTGGGGAAAAGCAGTAAACCAGAAAGACTTAAGCCCTTCCGGAGCTTACGCTCTGGTGAGAGGAGACAAACGTTAAACACGTAAACAAATAATTTCAGATCTAAAAGTGCTGTGACCAGGTGAACAGGGTGATGTGGTAGAGAGAGTCTCAGGGCGATGGTTTTGCTAGGATGGCCAGAGAATGTCTCTGAGAAGGTGAGTTTTCACTGTGACTTGAATGATGAGAAGGAGGCAGTTGGTGAAGGTCTGGGAAAAGAATGTTTCAAGCTGAGGGCATAGAAAATTCAAAGGCTCTGAGATGGGAACTAGCTTGGTTGAGGGAGAGAAAGAAGGCCTATATGGCTGAAGTAGGGAATGTGGTGATGAGACGAGCCATAGATTATAAAAAGTTGGGATTTTTAGTTACAAAGGTGAACATTGTATGGATTTGAAACAGAAAGGGATATGACCTGATTTAGGATATTGAAAGCTCATTTTGGCTGTTTTATAGAGAAGTGGGCAAGAATGGAGGAGGCAGGGAGACCAGTTAAAAGATTGTTATTGCAGTAGTCCAGGTGAGATGTTGATGGTTTAGACTAGGATTGTAGAAGTGGAAATTGAGGGAAATGGTCATATTTGGGATATATTTTTGAGGTTGTTCTGACAGGAATTACTCATGGATTGGATATGCAGTGAAAGGGAAGGAAGTTTTTGGTTTGCCCAGCTAGAAGGATAGCTGTGCCACTTACTGAGATGGAAAGACTTGGAGGTGGTAGTGGGGTAGAGGTGGTAGTGGGGTATAGGTGTTAGGGATAGATCAGTAATTCTGTTTGTGGCGAATTGTGTTTGAGATAGCTATTTGATATCTAAGTAGAGATATCAAAAAAGGGTACTGGGGGGCCGGGCTGGTGGCATAGTTAAGTTTGCATGCTCTGCTTTGGCGGCCCAGGGTTCACAGGTTCAGATCCCGGGCGCGGACTGATGCACCACTCATCAAGCCATGCTGTGGCGGGGTCCCACATACAAAATAGAGGAAGATGAGCACAGATGTTAGCTCAGGGCCAGTCTTCCTCACCAAAAAGAAAAAGGCTATTGGACATACATAGCTGGAGCTCAGGGGAGAGATCTGGACTGTGGATGGAGGTTTGAGTATCATCATATGCTACCCATAGGATTGAATGAGATGACCTGTATTAGTTTGCTGGGGCTGCCATAACAAACTACCGCAGACTGAGTGGCTTAAATAACAGAAATTAATTTTCTCACAATTCTAGAGGCTAGAAGTCCAAGATCAAAGTGTCGGCAGGATTGGTTTCTTCTGGGGCCTCTCTCCTTGGCTTGTAGATGGCCTGTGTCTTCACATGGTCTTGTCTTTGTGTGTGTCTGTGTCCTAATCTCCTCTTTTTATAAGGACACCAGTCATATTGGATTAGGGTCTGCCCTAATGATCTCGTTTTACGTTATTTATCTCTCTAAAGATCCTGTCTCCAAATACAGACACGTTCTGAGGTACTGGAGGGTTAGGACTTCAACATAAGAATATTGGAGGGGTCACAGTTCAGCCCATAACATGGCCTAAGGAGAGAGTATAGATAGAAGAGGATCAAAGAGATCCCTGGAGCACTTAAGCTTTTGAAGGTCAGAGAAGCGAGCCAGCAGAGAACACTGAGGGAGGAGTAGCCTGTGAGGTAGGAGGAAAACCAGACTTCGTGTGTCAGAGGCCTAGAGAAGAAAATGTTTCAAGAAAGACATCATTCGCTATGACAGATGCTGCCAAGATTTCAAGCGAGATGAGAACAGAATTGCCCAGTGACTTATCATCCCCATTTTATGTATGAGGTTATTCGCCCTAAGTTATGCAGGTCTCAAATGGCATTCTTTTTTTTTGTTTGTTTTAAATTTTATTTTATTTATTTTTTCCCCCAAAGCCCCAGTAGATAGTTGTATGTCATAGCTGCACATTCTTCTAGTTGCTGTATGTGGGACGCGGCCTCAGCATGGCCGGAGAAGTGGTGCGTCGGTGCGCACCCGGGATCCAAACCCCGGGCCACCAGCAGCGGAGCACACGCACTTGACCGCTAAGCCACAGAGCCGGCCCTCAAATGGCATTCTGAGTGCTCTTAATGCTTTATTGTCTTTCATATACAAAGAGCATCTCATTCCACCAACAGTATGTGTGCTTTAGTGATTTTTCTAACAGCAGTGATGCGTCCATTAGACTCCATGCTCTCTGGCCCAGTCTTCCTTGCAACTTGCAATATGTATTGTAATGTCACACGACAGTATTCCGGGTCTGTAATGTTCTGCTATGGTTGATAGCACCACAGTTTGAAAAGAGTGTTTTATAAGATGCTGTAAAATTATGCTGACCTCTCCTTGAATAGTTGTGGTATTTTAGAGTTATTCACTGTTGTGCCGGGAGTGAGACTGCTAAAGGAGATGCCAATTTGAAATAGTACTTTATAGCAATAAAGGCCGCTGTGCAGACAACCTAGACTGGAGGCTGTGTGTAACTGTTTTAGGCCTCTTCTTGTTAAAGGGAGATCTCAAAAGCTGATTGGAGAATGACAGAAAGAATTGTTTTTTTTTGTTTTGTTTTTTTTTGTGTGAGGAAGATTGGCCCTGAGCTAACATCTACCAATCCTCCTCTTTTTTTGCTGAGGAAGACTGGCCCTGGGCTAACATCCATGCCCATCTTCCTCCATTTTATATGGGACGCCGCCACAGCATGGCTTGACAAGCAGTGCGTCGGTGCGCGCCTGGGATCTGAACCGGCGAACTCTGGGCCACTGTAGCAGAGCGTGCGCACTTAACCGCTTGCATCACTGAGCCAGCCCCCACAGAAAGAATTGTTAATAGGAAGTCCGTGGGTGTCTGACAGTCATGATATATAAAAGACTAATTTAAAGTAGCTAGAGCAAATGAGACTAGGGGTAATTGTCGTTTTTAATTATTTTGGGTAATTTGCTGTGTTAGGTGTTGTTTGTTCCTGGGTTATATATGCTGTTGTTGAAAGCATATTAGAGAACTTTTAATCCTGTCTTTGCCACTTAGCTGCATAGATCCTTTCTAAATCTGTTTTTTCATCTTAAAAGAACAAAGATGATAACAAAACCTTTTTCTGTCTAACTCTTGGAGTTGTAAAGATCACATAATGTAAGTGAAAGCCATTTGTAAATTGTAAAATGTTGTACAAAGATAAATGGCTTTCATTGTATTCACTAATTTGTGTTCGGTTTATGAATAAATCAAATAAATATAAAGGAAAACATTGGGCAGATATATTTACATCAAATATGTCTAAAAACTGGTTTAGGTATCTATAAGGCCAGCATCAAGTGGGCAAGAGGTTTGGCTAGGCCACACAAAAGGAAGTACACATTGAAAACCAACATGAAAAATGGTCACTCACGTCACTAAAGAAGAAAAGTATAAATAATTGGTTACTATTTGACACTTATTATCCAAAAATTTATCAGTTAGTCCATAAGGCTTTGGGAAAATTTGTTCATCCCTACAGTATTGGAAAGTGTTAATTGGTACAATCCTTATCGAAGACAATTTAGCAATATATAGCAAGAGCCATTAAAATGCTCATTTTCTTTGATTCTTGTACATTTATCTTACTATTAGTAATAAGAAAATAGTTGTGTGTAAGGATGTTCACTGCAGGGTTACTTGTGGCTTCATTAGAAATTGGGTACCATCTCTATATCCTTTGGGTAATGATTAAATAATAATATCAAAGCTTAATGAACTAATATGGAACCATTAAAAATAAAGATGAAGGTTAGTGATGAAAGTTAAAGATGAAATGCTTATGGATGCAAAAGAAGATAATAGAATTCTAATTGTATCTATCAACAGTCAGCAAGTTGCAGAGGAAATGGAAAAATGGAGACAGTTGTGTTAAGGAAGTGGGACTACAAATCAGTGTTTTGTCTTTTTAAAACTGTCTTTAATATTACCATATGGTTTTAATAATAAATAAAATGTGGGATAAGATATTATAATGAATAGCTTCCCTCTAAGTTACCTTGTCTCAGTGTACTTGATTCCCACAAACCCTGAAGCCAGACTGATCGGTCATAACTCTGAGACCTGACATCTCTCAGCAAAGTAAGTTGGGAAATATTGTGTTTATGGCTAAGTTCCTAAAATTTTACTTAAAGTTCTGTGGTAACTCTTATAATAGTGATAAATGTAACATGAGACTTCTGTATAATGGAGGGGCACTTGGGCCACATGGCAGCAGATTTTTCTCTGGGCAGATGAGATTGGATAAATCAGTAATCATGGCTTCATTTTTACCATTTACCTATAACCTGAAGTAGCTCTCCTAGATACCCAAGAATAGAGGAAAGAAAAAAGCAAAAAGCCAAGAAAGGCAAGGAAATTTACTGAGAATATTGAGTAGAGTTTAAGAAAACATAGTGTGGCTAGAGGCAGTTAAACAGTCTGGAACGTTTTAGTTTGGTTTGGAACAAATGTAAAGACCCAGCTTGTATTAATTTTACTGGATTGTTGCCTGAAATATTAAAACAGATTGTATTTCTTCCAGCTTCATAAAATTCTGGGAGATAAGATGAACAATACTGCTGTAATTGAAAAGCAAGTACTAGAACTGTGGGACAGACTATATCATTCTTGGTTTGTAAAGGTAAGTTATTTTATTAAGGGATTTTAATAAAATTATAAAAGGATTATAATAAAAGGATTTTAATATAATTGTAAACTAATAAAATCCTTTTATTTTACAGACTCATTGATTAGATAGGATTGTATTAACATTGGGATTGCATTTGTTGACAATTTTAAGCTGCAAGGTCGTAAACCTCAGTCACAGAAGGCAGCTTGAGTTGATGGTTTATCTCCATGGCAGAATGCGCTCGTCCTTCTCGTGTATCTATATTCTGTCCTTTGTTCATCATCATCATCAACAGCATCTCATCCTCTAGACTAGCTCTGTGCAGTAGAAATGTAATGCAAGCCACATATATAATGCAAATTTATCTAATATAACGTTGTATTAGTTTTAGGTGTACTTCGTATTCTTCTCTCCCCCTTGCTCTCTTTATCTTGTATGGAAGATTAATAACAGAGATGAGGAAAGGAGGAAAAAGAAAAAATGGGAGAACAAGAAAAAGGTAGAGGGGCTAAACAGAAAAAAAAAAGATGAGAGTAAATGCTGTGTTGGTGTACAGCTGAATATATTGAGGAATAAGTCTGTTCACAAATGTGCTTAGGAGGGAAGCACTCGAGCTAGTCTGAGACACAGTAGCTAGAATGTAAACAAAAATATTATATTTCAGATCTTTAGATGGAGTTCTTAGTTTATTAAATAATGCAAAGTTTTTCACCTTTGAGTAACTCCTAAAGTGTTCAAGTGGACCTAAAATAAAATAGCCAAAATAGGCTGTTTATACATTTTAATCTTTAGGTTAAGATGGAGATTTCACACCTGAACTGTTTTATTCCATAGAACGTAACGCATTCTGGAAGGCACAAAGGACACAAGATGCATATAAGTCGTCAGAATAGCTGGCTGGGAGACATTCTGGACTGGCAGGATATCGCTTCCTTTGTTCACGAGAACATTGAGACATTTCTTTCGGTAAGAAATAGTGTTTACAGTTAAACTGGACTTAGAAAAAAACCCAGAAACTCTAATTCCCAGTTTTCTTTACACACTTAGAGGCCTTTAGGTTTTAATGCCATGGCATTTACAGTTTTGAGCATTCTGAATGCACTGGAAAGATGTTCAAAAGCCATAGGCCTCAGGTGTACCTTCCCTGATGCCTCCTCTGTGCTTGAAGAGTAACCGAGAGATGCTGAATCAGGAAACCTATGTGCGGTACTGTGGCTCTCAGATTCTGAGACGGGTATCCTCGTTCCCTTAGGCTGACTGGAATGTCTCCAGCTGGACCACTGGAGAGGGAGCTTTCTGGTGGGCAAAGCCATTTGGCAGATGGAAATATGGTTCCAGTTCATTAGAGAGACTGGATGTTTAAAGTCTTAGCTTGTTATTGTCCCACCTACTCTCCCCCCATGCAGCATCCACGTCTACCTTGTTTTCCAAAAGATCAAAAGCAGCAAGGAACAGCTTGCAGTGTTGCTAAGTTCTAATGACTGCTCTTCATTCCATAGTGTACTTTGTGAGATGTCTCAGCCTGTGGCTTTTCACAGAGATGAGAGGAATCTTCATGTGGATAAACTTGTGACTCATCAGGTTAACAAAAGTTGAGGTTTGCAATGCTAGATTTTTTAAAATTTTCATCCAAATAATAGCTGAACATAGCTGATAAGTCAAAAATGCTTTAAGATTTTTAATTTAAAAAATAGTGGTGCCCTACTCTCTGCTTCTTCACTTCAGTCTCATTCTCCAGAACCAGCTTTCAATTCTTTTAGCTTTCTCTGAGTATTTACCTCTAAATTTCTAAAATAATGTTTATGCTGCTCTTTCTTGGTTTTGCAATTTTAGATATTATCTTTTGGCTTCCTAATACGGAAGATGAAGATAAAGATGTGACTTTTTTTACAAGTCCCTCAGTGCTTTCTTATACCTCTCTTGGGGTTTCTTACAATCCCTTTGGTTCCTACCCCCATCCCTGCACTCACACATTCCCTTCCTACCATTCACCTAATACAGCTATAACAGTTTGAAATTAACTCTAGATATTCATGTCCTTCAGTTCTAAGAATTTTTAATTTTATGTTTTTGATAATCCCCTACCTCTGTTTTCTCTAGTCTAGTGGCTCTCAACCTTTTTGGTCTGAGGACTCCAACGAGCTTTAGCTTATGTGGATTCTATTGATATTTATTGTATTAACAGTTAAAACTGGAACTTTTAAAATATTTATCAATTTACTAAAAATACATTGCATATTAACATAAAGAAGATGCTTTTTGTTTTCTAAAACAAAAAATATGTGGATAGGGATGTTCATTGCAGTGTTACTTGTGACATTAAAAATTGGGAACTATCTCTAAATCCTATGCTTGGGTAATGATTAAATAATAACATCAGAACTTACTAATATGGACCCATTAAACATGAAGGTTAGTGATGAAGGGTAAAGATGAAATGCACATGATGCAAAAGAAAATATAGGATTCTAAATTAGATGTATAAACAGGCAGAAAGTTGCAGAAGAAATGGAAAAATGAAGACAGTTGTGTTAAGGAAGTGGGACTACAAATCAGTGTTGTCTGGTTTTCCAAAACAAAAAATGATTTAGTGAGAAGGGTGCCTTTCTTTCGTATTTTTGCAAATCTGTTTAATGCTTGGATTCTCGTACCTGCTTCTGCATTCATTTTGTTGGAATCCTTTGTTTTAGTTGAAGTATATGAGGAAAATCCAGCCTCATACAGATGTATAGTTGGAAAAGAGGGGAGTCTTTTTTAATAACCTTTTCAGATAATTGTGGCTGTTTTTCCTTGATACTGCACCAAAACTCAACAAATGGTATTTCTTAAAAGTTAGTTGCAGTATGGAATTTGAAACCATATCAATGAACTTTTTGTACTCTTCTATTCAAGTCCATCACTCTCTTTTGGCTAGAAATGGATTTTTTACCCTTACATGCTTTTGTAATATGCACTGGTCATTTAAATGGAATATTGGTTCACTGATTTCTCTCCATTTTCTAAATATTGACACATTTTGTTATACAGTATAAAAAAATCACATTCTTGAATGTCACTGCCTGTCTCATCAGAAAAAAATTTTAAGAAGCTGTCAAGGTCACCCCTTGATTGAACTTTTTATTTCTACCATCATACTTGTAGTACCCAACAGCTCTTTCTTATATTCTGAACCTTCCTTTCTAATCCCCCTGACTACACAGAATGGTTACTTGATTGTTGTTGGCAATTTCCAGTCTACAGTTAATGTATTCAGTTAATTTTTTAAGAATTAGCACCGAGTATTTCCTATCAGCATGACCCAGAAACTATTTAAAAAATTTTTTGATAAAAATTCCAAAATGACTGAAGCCCCCAAAAGAATGCTTGTCAAAATCACAAGTAAGGGCACTGTTTCTTGGAATCAGTGGCGTTATTCATTCATTCTTTATCCCACAAGGTCAAACAGTCAGTCATGCATATTTTTGTAGGCATAGTGAAGCATTTTCAAGATTTTATCTAAGGAGTTATTATTGTAAATGAAACCAGCCTGCCAAAGTTCTCTTAAGAAGACTGAGCTGAGGTTTGTAAGAAATGCCGAGGACAACAAAATATGCCTTGATAAATGGTACATTTGAGGTCGGAAGGGAATGGATAGGCCTTTTATTGAACAGATGGTATAATTTGAACATATGACAAGAAACAGAACTTCTGTTTTGGAAAGGGCACCAAAATAAAATCAGACATGGGGAGTTCTGGTTGCAGCTCTAGTTCCACTTACTAGCTCCAAGTCCTTGGGCAAGTATGTAAAAATCCCTGAGCTTCTGTTTATCTGTAAAATAAAGATATCCTCTGCATTGCTTCCCTCACAGCATTGCTGTGAGGTTGATGGAAGCATTTTGAAAACTGTAATGGAAGGTGTTTTTCTGATCTTTTTGCTTCCATGATTTTCATTAAGAGGAGGGATTGTCCTTTCTGAAAGAGTAGAACAGACATTATCATGAAGGAATTTAAGTTCACGAAGAGATAGGAAATGAAAACATGTAGGTGTACTATAGATATTGTACATCTTTTAGTCATATTTAACGTATATTAATAACCATTTTAATATCTGGTTTCAGTGAATTTGCAGGTGAGGGATCAAATGAACTCAGTAGGTTCCATCGTCTATCTGAGGAAAGATTTTCAGCTGCAGAGCTCTGCCCTTGACCCTGTCTGTTCATTTCTTTTATTGTGATTTTAGTGAAGTCATTGAGGTGATGGTTTTGTATTTGTAGATGAATCTAAGTTGGGGGTGGAAAGGGGAGAGGCAAGACAAATGCTAGAATTTCATGGCCTGCACTTGTGATCCTACAAGCTACATAGAACCATAGGTTGCATTATGGCATATTCTTCTATAGTCTTTTGTCTGTGCATACCATTTTTGCACGGTTATGATCATGCTATATATAAAATTTTCATGTCTTGCTTTTTAAACTTATGATATTAAAAAATATCATAAGATATTTTTCTGTGTTATAACAGAGATGTTTTTAATGGCTGCCTAATAGTATTTGGAGTAGATTCACCATAATTTACTTAACTATTTTCCTTACTAATCAACATTCAGATGTTTTCAGATGATTTTCTTTTTTCATTTAAAATAATACTCAGTTCTCATCCTTTCATTTTGTGGTACTAAAACACATTATTATTGTTAAAAGCATATATTAAAAGCGCACTAGACAGCTGTAGACACTTCTTTCCTGAGGATCGGTTCTGATGTTCAGCTTTCCCTCCTGGTCAGATCTTAGAGTCTCTGTGGATTGTTATGAGCCGGAACGTGAGCCTGCTTTTCACCACTGTCACTACACTGCTGACCATCCTCTTCTACAGCGGGACTGCCCTTCTCAACTTTGTGCTGTCTCTGGTAGGTACATACGATAAGTGCACATCACATTTCCTTCCACAGTAAAGCGTATTCTTGGTTCCATTTGTTTCCTTCCTTTAGTTTCCAGACGTGAGTTTTTAGGCGATACTGTCCTTTGTTTTGCAGATAATTTTCCTGACCACACTATTTTATCTGTTAAGTTCCAGTGATGAGTACTACAAGCCGGTGAAGTGGGTGATAAGCCTGACACCACTGTCTCAGCCAGGTCCTTCTTCTAATATTATTGGCCAGTCTGTGGAAGAAGCTATCAGGTAGGGATAAGATTTATGCTATTCTAATTTCCTTCAGAAACTGCTTTCCATGAGGAGCCCATTTTCTGTCTTGAGCCTTCCTAAGAACATTCACTGCTAAACTAGTGACGGACATTGGTATTTTCAAAAAATTTTATCTCCTCCTGAGAGGATAATATAAGCAGTGCAAATGTTGATAAGAAAAAAATTCAACACGGTTTCAGTACCCTACTCTTGAGCCTGTGATGTACAGAGATTTGATGGCCTGTGCCCACCAGCTTTCCGTCTGCAGGCTCTTGCTCTTCTTCTTGCTCTAGCTCCTGACCATCACGTCACTTGCTCGGGAGACACCGTGTACCTCCCCTTCTTTCAGAACCCTCCTTCTCTTCTCAGGAAGTCTGGCTTTGCTCAGGGAGGAGAATAGATGGTCTGTTTCTTCCTCTCTCCCTCTGCAGCTGAGCTGTGCCCTCAGGAGCGGGTACTTTGGATACTGGAAGTGTGAAGTCTTTGGTTATCTCCAGGGTATAGGCTCTGTGTGCATCACAGGTTCTGTTCAGAAACTTCCATCATGTTTTCTGTGGTCCATGTGTTGCAGGCTCGGTCTCTGAATGAGATGATTCTTCAACTTGTATTCTCCATACTCTTTCCAAGTCCCTGGCTCCTGCCCCTTTCTTTTTCCTCTTAGCATTTCAGGTAGGGAGAGGCCTTTTGCAGCCCAGGCCTATCTCAGCTCTTTCTCCAACCCCTGTCCCTCACTGCTGTTAACTCATTAATAAGATTCTACTACATTTTTACTTGTTATGAATAGCTACTCAAATTAAATCCTCATGTTATCCATTAGCTCTCCTTTTTCTAATAGGTTGTTAGCCAGGTGGTTTTAAGCTTCTCTTGAATAGTGAATCTTTGGCTGACATTTCTATTTTTACATATTTTTAAAAAATACTGTTGCTTGGAACTAGTCTTCTGCAGAAATCCTGATTTGACCTGGTAATCCTGTCTGACTGAGCTTGGCTTATTTTTTCACTATATTCGTGTAACAGCTGGTGAGGATACCCCTTTGATCTTTGGAAAACTCTGTGTTGCATTCAAATAGGATGAATGCTCCTAAAATATACTCTCTCTGGAAACTTTGGTGGGTTTTCTCCCTTTTTCCTACTAGCAAGGCCTGGGTAAAGTCTTCATCGATATTTTGCTTCCTTGATTAGACATCAAGTGGGATAAAAAAAAAAAATCTCTTGTCCCCTGTGGTGCCCTCCAGTAATCACATGCGGCCATCTTTGTAAAGATTCCAAGTTTGGGAGGGTGTTATCTAATGTAACAGCTCTCAGGGTGAAGTTGTTCTTCAGGAAGAACTTACTGGCTTTAGCATCCCTTCTAAGCCTATTTAACCATTGGTTATCATCTTTATTGAGTAAATGAAATGATGAAAACTCCAGCAATAGATTAACTATCTAGGTGACATCTGTCTGACACAAAAAAGTTTCTGTAAATACTTTACCGAAAGGAAAAATAACCTTCTACCTTACCAATAGGTTGGAGCTATTGAATCAACCATATCAAAGGCTGGCAGAATCCTCTAGTCAGTGTGACTTAAGCCAGGTTTTACAGAAAATATCTACCTTGTCCATAAACAACTTCAAGAAAGATATACTTCACTTTCTTAAAGTAACCTTTATTAGCACTGACTCTTATTTTCACAAAAGCTTCTCTATCTTCAAATCACAGTTCTTGAATTTTCTCTGTTTCTGCTTTCTTAGAGTGAACCACTTGATGACCATTCTCTAAATGTCTATCGAGTCACGGTTTTTTCATGGCATATGTGGTATGAAAACCAAATTATCCCTTGTTTTAAACTTAATTCTTTAATGTGGTGGTTGCTTGGAATTAGTAAGCAGAGGTGTGATTTGTACCTAGTCCAGCTGATTGAAAGCACATATGCTTCTGATATACCACGATGCCTTCTTCCAGGAGGAGCTGGTTGGGGAGAAGATCGTGAGTTAAAGTTGTGGTACTGCTAAGACTATTCAAGTGGATACATGAGGCTGGTGGCTAAAAATTCAGGTTTTTGGCTCAGGAGGGAATTTGAGATTTAGAGAGTGTGGTCATCTACAGAGATATGAGGAAATATCTGTCTTTTTACAAATGAGATTTGTCTTATCTTCTTGGGATTGCACACACTAATTATGCACTGTAACAGTACCCCATGTCTTGGTTCCAAAGTATACCGGAACAAAAGCCATTCATTTTATTATCTTATTTTTAATACAGAAAAAAATTTAACAACCCTCAGTACCAGAACTCTAATCCTAATGGTTCTCAAAACTGATAGATTTTTCTGAGTCTGAAAAATAAGGTACAGACTAGAGAACTTGTTATAGCCTGGGCCATTTTTCTAACCACAGCTATATCAAGTTATATAAATTAAAGATTTTAATGCAAGATGATTTTTAGCAGTCTTAGTGCTTTTGGTCTATTTCTTTCTTGGTCAAATTCAGGACTTCAATCAAAATGTACAGGTTTTCCATAGATGCCTCTGAAGAACCTTCTCATATATATGAGAGCGGTGGGTTCTAGTTCTAAGAGCTCTTGTCAGATTTTTCATTCTGAAGGATTGTGTTCAAGGTGAAATATGTTTCTTCATGGACAAAGATTTTAAGAGGAAAAATACTATACAAATGATTATGAAAATATTATAATGTCTGGAGAGTGCAGTTTAGTCTGCAAATTATCAGATACAGATTTTATAAGCTTCAATCATTAGTCGTCTTCAGTGTTGCAGTTGAGTGGAAATCGTTAAACTCATTTTATATGACCCATCAATAAGTTAAAAGTGGAATTGACGTTGGGAGTTAACTGCGTGAGAAGACAGTGAAAATGTCTTTGTTCTTCAAGCTTTGCCTTTTGAAATACGTGGTTACTTGATAGTCACTGTCTCATTGAATTTTTGAACCTTAATTATTATTCTCAATTCTGAGTAAGTAGTCTTCTAAATTGAATACGTTTGTGATGGGGTTTTCATTTCATGAATTTTTGGGATAGTGGCATGTATCCTTTATCTCCAAACCATTTTCCTTCCCCTAGAGCATGTTGCGTCCCGAATGTTTGCATCACACCCTTCTTTCCTGATGCTCCCATTCTGCTTGCTCTGGTGGAGATATTGCACATTACTAAGTTGCATGTTGTCACGGCCTCAGTGCAATTTAGTGTGTGTGATATTTTCACATGAGTGCATGCACACGGGTATGGCTCTTGCTTGTGGGATTACAGCTTTTCAGTGCTGGTGGCTGGGAATCCTACTGATTAATTAGGTGGGAGAACGTATGTACCATGAGATTTTCATTTGGAAAGTGAACATGCGCCCTGCTTCTATCCCCCAGTTTTGGAAAATTAAAAGTGTTTGTGTTAAAAAAAAATCAGCGTCAGGGGCCAGCCAGGTGGTGCAAGCGGTTAAGTGCGCACGCTCTGCTTGGGCGGCCGGGGTTCGCAGGTTCAGATCCCGGGCGCGCACCGACGCGCTGCTTGTCGGGCCATGCTGTGGCGGCGTCCCATATAAAGTAGAGGAAGATAGACACGGATGTTAGCCCAGGGCCAGTCTTCCTCAGCAAAAAGAGGAGGATCAGCATCAGATGTTAGCTCAGGGCTGATCTTCTCCACAAAAAAAAAAAAAAAAAAATCAGCGTCGATCCTTTAGTAAATCAGTATTTCCATTTTTGGCTTTGAGCAAATTAAGTATTCATTGGAAAGAAATTCTCGTGGATTTAAGGTTATAAACAGTATTTGTTTAAATTAAAATGTATAAAATTTGTTTAAATTAAATGTATAAGAGTTTAAAGCTGTTAGAAAATGTGTTTTCATTTATACGGAGAGATATCTCACCTAACACTGGAATAGAGAGACAATCTCTTTTTCATAATTGCAAAAACTAAATTAGCTAGAGTTCTTAAATAATAATCGAGTCAGTAAATATAATGCCTTTTTAACCTACTTGATTCAAGATCGGTTTAATAAACCTAATCCTCTATTTCTTTACGTTTCCAAGGAAAAGAACCTTAAAACATTTTGTCTTGTATTTAGTGTCTCATTGTGTTGCTTTAAAAATTGCTAAATTCATTTTAATAGGCTTATAATACAAGTACTATTGAGATACAAATGTTTGCTGTTTGCCTGTATAATTGAGACGCCTTGTTAATTTTTTAGTTAGCATTAGAGTAGGCATTGTCAAAGAAACAAGACTATGAATTAATGAGATAAGAATACTGAATTAACATTACTACTGCCATAGCCTCCATGTGATCTAATGTGATGCCACTGTTGTACGCTTATGTGTGTGACTCACTATTTCCAGTGGGAATGGAAGGCTTCATGATGGCAGCTTCTCCCTCTGCTCCTCAGCAGTGCTCTAGGTCTGCATGCACAGCATGGCCATTCCCTTCTGGAGTGGGAAATCCAATGTTCACTGGGTTTCTGTACATCTTACTGTGGAGCTGTGTCACTGGGGCAGATGAACCAGGAAGGGGAAGGAGATGTAACTTCTCAAGAGAAGTAAAGTAATAATCAAGGGAGCGGAGGGATTCTTTCCCCGACTGGTAATTTTATGTGCTGTCTCTGGAAGCTGGCCTGTCCCTCTCCACTAGCTCACCTTCTACTTGAGGTGCAGTGTTTAGCAGGAAGGGGAGAGTACTGTTAAGTAAATAATAGCTGTTGATTCCTGGGGGAATGATTGTCTGCCAGTCTTCCTATTTGACCTTTAGAAAGAAAAGAGGGCAGAACCAGTGTAAGGAAATGTCGGGAGTAGGCAGCATTTTATATTGGACTCTTTAGTCTTGTTTTCTTTGTTTCTTTTCTTCTTCCTACTTGTCTGCAATCTAGGGCCCTGTGTACTCTGAGGGCATAGAGCTTCTTGACTGTGGTTTATCATTCTCCCCACCCCCTCCTTGCTTCAGATCTCATTCCATTAAAAGCAGGTCATCTGATCAAATCCTGAGTTGTCTGCCTAATTTTCCGTCACTCAGTTTAGAAAA